ACCGTGCCAACACCATGAACAGAAGCACTCGCGCCATTCCCCATCAATAAGGACCCATGGCCTGTGACCTGGTAAGAAGAAAACAATAAAATGTCAGCACACACATGAACAACTGCACCTGTGTCCACCCATCAATCGGTGGGCTGAAATAATGGAAAAAATAGTAAATAAATTACCTTATCCAGATGCACCATTCTCATTGTTGCCCACAATCATGTTGACAGACTTGGAGTCCTGTCCTGAGTCCTGACTTCTTAAACTTGTTTGGGCATTTGTTGGCCCAATGTTCAACCGAACCACAAGTAAAGCATCCCTCATCCTCCTTGTTCTTCTTGAAGGTCTTCTTACCCTTCTTAAAGTCGGTATTGTGTTGGACACCGTTCTTTCCCTTGGGCTTGTGGGAGTTGATGTTCCTCTGGCTCACCATGTTGGCGACAGAAGTTCCTTCGGCCCCTTTTCTGTGTGAGTCCTTTGCCCTCGAATTCTGCTCAACACTCAGATGGCCAATGACATCCTCCACAGAGAATTCACGCCTTTGATGTTTCAGAGTGGTGGCAAAGTTCCTCCAGGAACTAGGGAGCTTAGCGATTATGCAGCCGCGACAAACTTGCCCGGTAAATCGCACTTAAGAAGCTCAAGCTCCTTAACGATGCATATTATCTCAGGAGCTTGCTCCAATACAGGACGGTTCTCAATCATCTTGTAATCATGGAACTGCTCTATAGTATACATCTCGCTCCTGGCATCGGTGGCCCCGAACTTAGATTCGAGCGCCTCCCACAAGTCCTTGGCGACATGCACATGTAAATATGCGTCGACCAATTTATCTTCGATCACGTTAAGAACTGCTTCGAGAAATACAACGGCGGCCTCCCTGAACGCCTTCTCTTGTTCAGGAGCAATCGATCCCGTTGAGACACCGGCGACCCAGAACACGTTCATAGCCATGAGCCATAAAGTGATCTTAGTATGCCAACGCTTAAAGTACATCCCGGTAAACTTATCCGGTTTCAGTGCAGCGACAAAGCCACTTGCCGAAAAATTCCTACACAGAATAGGTTTTTGGATTGTTGAGAAAATAGGCAATTTTTTGACTAATTTAATCCATAGATAAATCACTAGCATGGCATTGACTGAATTAACGACATACTGATTCTGATCTAAAACATGCACACACTACGCAAACAGTAGACACATCTACATACACTGCTAGTACTGCTAATACGAAAATAAACATGAGGGGGATAAACATGTTATACCCTCCAGTAGGCCAGGCAGAAGCCGCGACGGCGGTGGCAGCAGCGGCGTCCTCAGCGGCCTTCTTGTCGGCTTCGAGCTTCTCGGCAGCGAGACGGTCGGCGTCGGACTGCGACATGGTGATGATGGAGACGACGCGGACGTAGAGGAAGTAGTGGATCGGAGGCGAGCAGTCGTGTAGTCGCTTCCCAAAAACCTATTCACCCTCTCCCGTACGGGATCCAGAGAGGCGGGGTTTCGGAGACCTGCTCTCCCGTCGACCATGTACGCGGCGGACGGGATGGAGTCACCGGCAACAGCAGCAGCAAAAGGAACGATGGTGGGCGTGCGCGTGGAGCAGATGTGATCTGTTCGTGGCGGCTAGGGTTAGGAGACACCGCATACTTATATAGGCGCAACCGCATGGAGAGACGTGGGCTCGACCCACGTCCGAGTCCGTGATAGCCCACGATCCGACGTCTCAGATCATGGCCCAGCTGTCAGAAAACTCTACATTACTGACTGGCAAAAATAAGCGCGTAGGTGTGAGCTTGGCTCAGCTCATTCCTGCAACCCGCGGCGCGTCGTGACGAGGCATGGCGTGGCGAGGCGGGCGGCGGAGGAGTGCGCGAGGGCCTCTTCTCTTCTCAAGCTCCAATAGCATGTAGAAGAGAAACCCTTATAAGGAGGTCCAACTCCTCTCCAACTTCCGGGGTGGGACTAAACTTCCCACTACACCTAGTGCCAATAAACCCACATGGGCCCTTAGAGATTTTCAGAAATTGTTAGATGGGCCTAAAGCACACCTCATATTTCAGCACACACATCCATCTCAATACGCGCATCTCCGCCACACCTAACTGTTGAACATGTCGCCTTTTAGTCGGCCACCACTTAGCGCCATACAACATTGCGGGTCGAATCGCCGTCCTATAGAACCTGCCTTTTATCTTTTGTGGCACTCTTGTCATAGAGAATGCTAGAAACTTGGCGCCACTTCACCCTTCCGGCTTTGATTCAATGGTTCCACATCTTCATCGATATCCCCATCCTTCTGCAACATTGACCCCAAATATCGGAAGGTGTCCTTATGTGGCACTACCTGCCCCATCAAGGCTAACCTCCTCCTCCTCGTGCCTAGTAGTACTGAAATCGCACCTACTCGGTTTTAGTTCTATTAAGTCTAAAACCTTTCGATTCAAGGTTTGTCTCCATAGCTCTTAACTTCTATTAACCCCCGTCTGACTATCATCGACTAGCATCACATCATCCACAAAGAGCATACACCATGGTATATCTCCTTGTATATCCCTTGTGACCTCATCCATCACCAAAGCAAAAAGATAAGTGCTCAAAGCTGACCCCTGGTGCAGTCTTATTTTAATCGGAAAGTCATCAGGTGGTCTAAAATGCCAAAAATTCTCATGGGTGCGCAGGGCTAGTCCAGAGCCTGCAGCCTGAGACTTGTCTAGTTATTATAATTGTTATAAGATAGGAAAGAATCATAGTTTATTAGGGAACATTCACAGTTTTGCGAGGAAAGGGTCTGATCCAACTTGGGGATCAAGTAGATGTCGTCCATATAATGGACAGCCATGTAAGCCTTAGGGGCATCAATCAGAAAACGAAGGTTCACCTCCACCAACCCTCTCGCCCACCTCTCCACGCCATGGCACAGCAGCCTCCTCACGACTACGCTCTCCGGAGCTTGGGTCGTGATATCCACCTGATATCCAAGCAGTCCATCTAGAATCCGACGTCCTAGGAAGATACTTTTCAGGGTTGCACTGAAATGAAGTTTTCATCTGATACGTTGCCTTTAACACTGTCATTTGATCTGCCTAATCATATTTTGTGTATGAACTGCCAAATTTAGTAGCGCATAGGCAGTTGTTTCGTCAACTAATTAGTGCTTACCCGTTCTGGTGCCTCACAAATAAGAACATCTTGGGAGCAACGACAGGTTTCCTATGTTTTGGAAGACTAAATTGCACCTCAGGTACAAACAACTTGTGAGTTGTATGCATACAGGTCACATGACTTGAGAATTGCTCATTTGTGTCACTAATCTTTGTTGGAGTGGATAATCCAATAAGTGATTCCCAACGCTACATACACCAAGCTGTGCCCTGATTACCCTTGTTTCTCTCATGCAGTTGGCTAGATATAAAAGTGTTTTTCTGTTATACATGTTGTGCGTCTAACAGTGTATTTAAATCACTCTTTAAGTGTTCCTTACATTGTGTGTTCCATCCTATTCTAGTTTCTCACAATCTTGTTGGTGCACTTTGCGTCAAAGTCCCACCACGTGGCACAGGAAGACACATTTGGCACTGACTGGGATGCCCTGCCATCTTTTTATCCAGAAAGGGGAGGCCCTGGCCTTTCCATTGGTTGATGCGCGCAACCAATTTTTATTGCAACGTTTAATCCTTACAAAAAGAAAAAACGAAAAACAAGCAACTCGGAGTTTGCCAACCAAAGAGCAACAGGATTAACAGCAACAACTTGTGCGACATCAATCTTATTACTTTTTTTCCGATAAAACATCAATCCTATTACTAGGTTACATATTTGTTGAACAAAGCGTGTGCTACCATTTCCAAATGGCTGCACCCAGAGTCCAGTGAAACCCGTGCCTCCACACAGTGCAGTAAGCACCACCTATGGGTCCAATGTTTATCCTGCAAAAAAACAGAGAAAAAAAAGAAATTGGAAACATTATTCTTGTTAAAAATAAAACCATTGCAGCAGTTCTACATAGCCCAACATAAAGCAGTCACTTCCACCCGCATCAGAGCCTTAATTTGTCTATTTACCCCATTTAACAAGTTCTCTTGAGATAGAGATTGGAGCGGGTAGATTAAAAGCCGCAAAAAGAATTCGCCAGATTAGGCGCATCAGGGGGGGTTTAAACCACAAAAACAATACGCTGGGCTTGACTGCCTAACTTTAGTTTGAAAAAGGAAAATTATTTCCTATCCTCTCTCTGTGTTTCATCCTTGTCCACACTTTCACATGATCAATAACCTAGTACGTTGCTGGTAACATTTCCTTGTGGCTAGACCGTTCGAGACAATAAGTGCAGCAAGCAAATGACCTTGATGTTGGTGACAAAAAGCGGAGCAAGTGCAGAATGCTGTAGCAAGGATGAAGGTGGTTGTGACCTTCATGAGCGCATGGACGATAACCTTTCATGAGCATTCATACTCTCACCTGCATGAGCACATGGACGAAAACCTTTCATGAGCATTCATACTCTTCACCAGCACATCAAGACAACCTTGCCATTACGAAAATGCTGTGCCACGATGAGCATGTGGCCTTGCGTCCTGATGTATGGGCAAGTTCCACGGGTGGTCTTCAGGAAGAGCAATTTTGGTGAATTTCAGATCAAATCTTTTAGTTTCTAACTTTCTGTAAGGAATTTGGCAGCGATCATTTTCGGATCCAATAATTTTCTTGCCGAAACAGAGAGAGAATCAGGGGTAGGGATTTATTTTTTATTCTTTTGGAAAATAAAAGCAAGCATAGCCTAGAGAATCAGGGGCAGTTAGAACCAGGTGCCTTCTATTGCCATGTTTTCAGGTTTTCACAAAATGGACAAGATTAATGACTCAGTGGAGCAGTTCTCAGTTTCTGTTACCTGAATGCACCCACCTCACTACTTTTTTACCTAAGGATTTACTCTTGTGGAAATCTGAAAGAAGAAAAAAAAACATTTTAAGCTGGATTGCTTATTTCTGCACTTTTCTGATTTCCAGAATCTGACGTGGATACTACTTGCATAGGAAAATGTGACCTTTTCAATGGAGAGTGGCTACCGAATCCCTCTGGCCCAGCCTATACAAATTCAAGTTGTCGATTTATTGATGATCACCAAAATTGTATGATGAATGGTAGACCAGACACTGGATATCTTCACTGGAGGTGGAAACCTTATGAATGTGATTTGCCACCGTTTGATGAAATTAGATTTCTAGGTGCTATGAGGAACAAAGCATGGGGCCTTATTGGTGACTCCATTCTTCGTAACCAAGTCCAGTCCTTGATATGCCTTCTGTCTAAGGTAAATTATACCACATTACATGACTCCTCCTTTTAATTATCAATTTGTCATACTGAAGTGCTGCTGTTAATGCTTACTTGAAGCATCATGCTCGTTTCTGTATTTTCTGATTTTTTGCGTTTAAATGCCCTAAAAGGAAATTTTGTTTCTCCTCATTAGGAGATACTACAATTGGAGGAGCATACACTGAATTATGCCAAGATACGTAACCCTCTAAACTATTGTATCCACTAGTATCCAGAGCAGTTCAGCCCTGGCCAGTTTCTATAATGCAAGAATCGCTTCTGAAATTTTGAAAATATCTGATGAGAATCTTGTATGTACGTTGTGACGTGAGGTTTATGCATGTAAATCTTTGTTTGAAAGTATATGGTCATTTATCTGTGCAAAAAAATGTAATATATTTACTTTATTTTTGCACAGATTACAGTCATATTTTGTAACTAATTTTACACACATAGGCTGACATATTGATAGTTTATGGATTCAAATGAGCCCAAAAAAATGTTTGAAGAGGAATGTGAATGAAGCCAGTAGTTTAGGATCAAAAGTGGTGTTTTTTTTCCTCATATTTATAAATTGTGTGCACTATTTGAGTGTACTTCTAGTTGGGTTAGAACAACAATGCATTACTTATGTAACATGCCTCTCCCCTCTATACCTTGCATTTGTAGTGGTATAGTATCCTTATTATTGGACCTGCTTGCTGTTTATTTAGGCCGACGAACCTGTTGAGGTCTACCATGATAAAGAATTCAAAAATAGGAGATGGCACTTCCAATCATACAACTTCACTGTGTCCCTCGTTTGGGCTCCCTTCCTCGTCAAATCAGAGGTTTTTGAAAATGAGAATGGCGAGTCCACTTCCGAGATCCAGCTTCACCTTGACATACTTGAACCAACCTGGATAAGTCAGTACGAGAGGTTTGACTATGTTGTGATTGCCGGTGGACAGTGGTTTCTTAAGACTGCGGTCTACTGGGAGAGTGGTAAGGTGTTAGGCTGTCATCATTGCCAGGACAAGAACCTAACTGAAGTCGGGTTTGAGCACTTGTATCGCAGGACTTTACAAGAGGTACTCAAATTCATCACCTCGGCACACCATAAGCCAGTTGTCCTCTTCAGAACATGGGCGCCTGATCACTTTGAGAACGGCGAGTGGTTCAGCGGTGGAACCTGTAACAGGGTATTGCCTTACAAGAAGGGAGAGTACGGTGGGAAATACATGGAACATATCATGAGGGGGATCGAGCTTGAGGAGTTCAACAAGGCCGTAACAGCGGCCAATAGCTCAAGGGATGTGGTGAAACTGAAGCTCTTGGACACTTACAGCATTTCGTCCATGAGACCTGACGGCCATGCTGGTCCTTACAGGATGTTCCATCCATTTGCACAGGGCAACAAGGATGGCTCATCGGTTCAGAATGATTGCCTGCATTGGTGCGTGCCAGGGCCCATCGACGCCTGGAACGATCTGATTATGAAGCTGGTTCTCAACTGATGAAACCTCTAGATCTTGCGCTCCTTGCTGACCAAGAGTTGTAGGGCTGGTTGTGGGCCAAGTTGGCTACCTCGATTCAGGGTTTAGTTCCTGGCATGCTAGCGTGATGTGATTCTAGTTTAGCAGGAAGTAGTAGTCAAGAATATGCAGGTGTGTGTGTCTTTTTTTTTCTTGAAAAGGAGGACTACCCGCCTCTGCATCAATCCATGCATGCAGCTATATTATTAAATAAAAACGAGCAATGTCATAAAGGTCCAAAGAAGCTCATAAATTGAGCAGTAGTCGAAAGAAAATAAATCCCAAAAACGCCACATCTGGCGATATATAATTGAAAAGTGCCACATCTGGCGATAAAAAACAAGCTACGATGCTTACACATTTAGCCTATTATTAGCTCGCCACCCAAATCGACCGAAGATGGCCCGTGCTATTGTCTTTTAGCGGTTGCAATCAATAACTAAAAGCTCCCTAAAGTCCGCATGAGTGAGTAAGGACCACATACGAATCCAAATTGTAGCTCTGTGAATAACCCGCAAAAAATTGATGAATTTTGTCCCATTAAAAATCATATCGTCCCTAGTGTTTCGTATAGCACAAAATAGTGCACATACTCCTATCCGAATATGTTTAGCTAAGTGTACGTCCACTCCATCAGTCACGTCCCAGATAACATGTTTATGCTCCTTGAGGGTTGAACGTTAAAAGCTATATGAATTGATGGCCATAATAATTTTGCAAGAGGATATTCGAGAAAGAGTTGTTTAGTTGTTTTATTTTGATCATAAAAACAGCACCTGGAGTTACCAACCCAATTCCTTTTTGCCAAGTTATCTTTGGTTAGAATGACTTCTTTATGGACGAACCACATAAATTTTTCAATACGAAGCGGAACTTTAATCTTATAAATGTGCAACAACCTCAACAATGGTTAGAACGACTTCTTGGATGTGTCTAGTTGGCACACCTCATCCTTCTGAGAAATGTCAATGCTTTAGATGCAGCAACATTGATTTCTCGTGCAAATAACTGAGTTAAAACTATATGTGGTTGGTTTAAGACACTAGACCCCGCGAGCCAAGAATTAAAGAGTTGTGTCCAGCACCTCTACTGTCTCCCGATGGCAGCGTGTGGGGTGTGATCGTTGGTACAATAATTCTTTACCCATATCCATGTTTCTCATGGGTGTAAAGTTATGACCGTACCATAACCATCGGGTAAATATCCATGCCCATGTTGTATCGTGCCCTATGGGTACCCATTGAGCAGATCAACACAACAATGACGGCATAATAGCTAGTTTCATAGGTGCCAGCCATCGAGAGATTTCTATGGTTGTGAATTTGGTTATTGCGAGGAGGATGGGGTGGGATACAGAGCTTACATACAAAGACTCGATAACTTGGGGTTTATAAAAGATGTGCCCACCAGAAAGATAATCTGGCAGGATCTGGGCATATTTATAGGCACAAAGTCGTACCATTCTACCGGCGACTAGTCGGGTAAGGTTCGGGCACTGACCATGGACACAAATGTTCCTATACCCTACCCATGCTGGTCGGATACCCATCCCTATGGTTAAAATTGCCATCTCACTTTCCGTCTCCTCTACCCGCAACCATAGTGCCCCAATAACCACCATTGCCAATCATGTTGCCACTTGTCATACCTCTAGTCAGGGGCATGGTTTCTTCTTCGACATCAACACGCACACCCTCAACCCTAGCATCCTATCCCTACCATGAACCACTCCCACGAGATTTCCCTGTCTTCTCTATATCATGGTTATTGCTCTCGATTGGGAAACATTAATCTAACCACCTTAGCGAAGTCACCTTGCCTCCATCGTCGTCATAGCTCCCATGAGGTCAGAACACTGATGTATCTCGTAAGTCATAAATGTAACCATGTCGGATGGGAAGATGTACGCTATGTTATGCTCCAATTTAAGTATAAAGAGAAAGACTAACTTCTGACGAGTGAGTGGAGCGAGGTCCGTCACCGGTAGGCTTGGGCCGAAGCGGAGGCTAAGGGCTTCAGTCAGATACCACGTATTGATTATAATAACGTGTTCTCTCCATTTGTGAAGCATAGTTCCATTCATGCATTTTTTGGTATTGTTGCTATGCATGATCTTGAGCTTGAGTAGTTAGATGTCAAGACTGCTTTTCTGCATGGTGAACTGGAGGAGGAGATTTACATGGACCAACCAGAAGGTTTCATAATGCCTGGTAAGAAGAAATTTGTTTACAAGTTAAAGAGGTCCCTATATGGTTTGAAACAGTCTCCGAGACAGTGGTATAAAATGTTTGATTCATTTATGATAACACACGGAATTAAGAGGTCTGCATATGATAGTTGTGTTTACATTAAATTTGTTGATGGATCACCTATATACTTGTTGTTATATGTTGATGATACGGTGATTGTTGTCAAGGGAAAGAAAGATATCACTACTTTAAAGGCACAATTAAGCAGTGAGTTTGAGACGAAGGACTTGGTGCTGCTAAGAAAATTCTAGGTATGGAGATTACGAGGGACATAAATTCTGGTTTGTTATTTCTTAGTCAGCAGAGTTACATTAAGAAAGTTCTTCATCGTTTTAATATGCATGATGCTAAGTCAGTAGGCACTCTCATTGCTCCTCATTTCAAATTATCATCTTCTCATTGTCCTAGTAATGACAAAGAGTTTTAGTATATGTCAAGAGTTCCATATTCCAGTGCCGTTGGTTCTTTAATGTATGTCATGGTCTGTTCTAGGCTTGATTTTTCATTTGCAATGAGTTTGGTCAGTAGATACATGGCTAACCGTGGTAAAGAACATTGGAAGGTTGTTCAGTGGATTTTCAGGTACCTTCGTGGCACTTCTAATGCTTGTTTGAAATTTGGCAGAACTGGTGACTAGCTGGCTATGTGGATTCAGATTTTGCTTCCACTGATTTGGACAAGAGGAGGTCCCTTATAGGTTATCTGTTCACTGTTGGTGGTTGTGCCGTGAGTTGGAGGGCAAAGTTGCAGCCATAGTTGCTCAATCTACCACGGAAGCAGAATACATGGCTATTGCAGAAGCATGTAAAGAATCAATTTTGATGAAAGTTTGTATGCTGAGCTTTGTGGAGATAATTCTTGCATTAACTTGTTTCACCGGTGTAGAGACGTGCTATACAAATGGTTTTAACCCCCTTTCCGCGACGGAGCTTTAAATTGTCGCCTTGCCTATGTGTACGATAGGGGGGGTCCTTCCAACACGACCCAGAAACCGTCGGGGATAGGTCCTCCGGTAACACATGCGGGGCAAAATGAGCTCGTGTGCGATCGGGAGAGGCATCAGAGGCAATTGTACAAGGCAAATTGTTTCCGTTAGTATGTACATCTGTAGCACCCCGGTGTGTCATGCTACAGTAAACCCCTATTAATGGTGCCACATCATCATAATTGGATTTTGCTAATCATCACTTTGTTCCAAACCGACCTCAAATTCAAATTTAAAGTAAAGCCAAATTATTAGTTATCCATGCAGAGAATAAAAAAAATGTTCGAGTTGTTGCAAATATTCACTAAGTAATTGTCATGTAGAAACCAACATCATTTTACTCGCCAATTTAATCCCTAGTAAAATATAAAGTGACCCGAGAACAACTAAAATTGCCTTTTCAAAATAAACAAATGTTTATGTCTTTCCAAACCACTTGAAATCTTGTGTGCTAGCTCAAAACATTGCCTACTATTTATGTGACAAGTTTTGGATTCAACAAAACTTATTTGGTATTAAATTAAAATACCAAATGGTGGATAAAATACAAAATAGAAAATTAGAAAGAAGGAAAAGGGGCTAAGTGCACACTGTGCACTAGAGGCCTAGTGCTACAGTAGCACGACCCAAGCCCACCATGGCCTTTTCCCCTTCCTCTGTTCTTTGTACATACAGGAGACAAGGGCCATGGCGTGGCGGCCGTCCCACGGCGCCATGGCCGGATGGCCACCACGTCGACTCCCCTTGGCCAATAAAAGTGCCCCCACAAAACCCTGGCTTGCCCTCATCCTTTCCCCCTCTTTCCCCCACCGCCCCTCCTCTTCTTCCCGAATCCAAGCTCGAACAACTCACGGTGACCGCTGCCTCGCCATTGTTTCCGTGGCCACCGTCGTCTCCATCACTCGGGAGTACGCCCAGGAGATGCGTCGTCATTGTCTGCATCGACTACGGGGATCCATTTGGCCGGAGCTTCACTCTATCGTCGCCATCGCCACCTTCTCCCGCCTCTGTCACCATCGATTCGGTCACCTTCGACCACCGTTGGCCTCCCCAGGCCTTCTCTACGTTCGCGGTGAGCCTCCTCCTCCGCCCCGCTTCTCCCTGGCTCCCGACGCCGTAGGTCGCCGCCCCATCTTCCCTGCCCGTAGCTTGGCTCAGCGCGCCCGTGTACCATGGCCGCCCTTGGCTGCGCGCTGCCCCATGCGCCCGTGAACCCAGGCCGCGCCTCCCTGCTCCTGCTGCTGTTTTGCTACTGTTGCTTCTGTTTGTCGCCGTCGCCGCCTCTACTGATGCTCGCCTCCCGCGCCGCCCCCACGCGCCTCCGCGGATGTCCTGCCGCCCGTAGCGGCCTTCGCTGCAGCCGCCGCGACTGCCTCCGCCCTCCCGTGCGATCCCGCACCCACGCCCACTTAGGCTGCCGCCCATCTTGAAGCCGCCGTCACCGCAGCCATCGCTCCGGATAACCCCTACCTGCGCTCGTAGGGCCGTCCTTTTCCTCGCCCCTCCTGCATCGCGTAGGGCCTCTCGACCGACCACAGGGTCGCCGGAGGGGGCCACCCGTGCTGTTGCCGCTCTGTCTCCGGCAACCCGCGTGCCCGGGGTGCTAACCGTCGACCCGTTTAGTTTAATTAGGTGCTAAATAGCCACTGCCGTATGGGCCCTGCTAACTAGATTAAGCTTCCATTAACAGAAATTAATTTAACCTCTATCTCTGATCATTGGGCCCGCCTAACTAAATGACTTAATTA